GTTCTACTCCAAGACGAAACCCTCGACGAAATGCAGGAGTTACTAAAAGGTACCAGGAATATGTTCCAGGATGAAATGGTGTGATAGACTCAAAAACTGTACGTTAGTTCCATAGTAGTTACTTGCGATCACACTGTGAACAGGGGCACAGTAATCCCCGTGTGAGTCACTTGAACCAAGTAGGTTCCATTCCTCAAGTTATTTCTTTCTGTTATAAAGGTTCATAGTTATCATTGTAAATTGTGATCGTGTGTCGAGATAAAAAAAACATCAATGCTTACGACAATATTTAGTTCCTAATACTAATGGAATATACGTTGTTAGACGATATAGTATAATTTACATTCCCAGGTAGAGTAATGTTTGAACCAAGTAAAACAGTGACATACAGAGATAAACAGTTATAATTGTTTGAATTGACTCCATTGTTGGTAGTGAAAGAAAGAAAAAAAAAAACTTTGATGAACAATGCTTATGTGGAACAAACAAGACTAAGGTGGAGGAGTGTTATAACTGTTTACTAATTTCCGGAGTTTTAGTTTATGCCGCGCAAAGAATTGTGGGTTGCGCAATAAATGTTTTTCCTATGTAGTGGCGGTCGTCTCCGTGTCATGCTCGTGTTGCAAATACGCAACAGGCAGGGATATCTCAAGGCGGGGAAAGCAATCTTACAGCAGTAACATATCGGGATCAGGTCTTGAGATCACATGTCCTTCCTCTTATCCCTCAACGTAACCTTATGTGGCAGCAGGACAACGCGAAGCCCCACATTGCTTGGGTTTGTTGTGACTTTTTGACTCAAAACAATTTCCCGGTTCTTGATTGTCCACTATACAGTCAAGATTTGTCCCCAATCAAGCATTTATGGGGGCCCTTATTCAGGCGTGGAATAATATCCCTCAAAGGACAATAAACACCTTGATGGGGTCAAAGTTAAGGAGAGTAAGAGCAGCGACTGAGGCCATGGGTTGAGTATACACGATTTGGATCAAGAAACAGCGTAGGGTATCCTTGTTTTAACGCTATTCACGCAAACGCCGTCTGTCATGAGACAACAAAAATCATCAAAATGAATTCCGAAAGGATGAACTAATCGAGAAATCCAAACAATGAACGAACTATCAATGAATCATGTGAAATGATAATATAAAAATAAAAGCATCGAAAATAAACTATTTCCTGCTTGTATATTTCTTTAACCAGATAAATCAATTGTAAATATTTCTCTGATAAGACTAGATAAACTGTGTGTATATATTTCTTTAACCGGTCCAGATAAACCAATTGTAAATATTTCTCTGATAAGACTAGATAAACTGTGTGTATATATTTCTTTAACCGGTCCAGATAAACCCATTGTAAATATTTCTCTGATAAGACTAGATAAACTGTGTGTATATATTTCTTTAACCGGTCCAGATAAACCCATTGTAAATATTTCTCTGATAAGACTAGATAAACTGTGTGTATATATTTCTTTAACCGGTCCAGATAAACCAATTGTAAATATTTCTCTGATAAGACTAGATAAACTGTGTGTATATATTTCTTTAACCAGTCCAGATAAACCCATTGTAAATATTTCTCTGATAAGACTAGATAAACTGTGTGTATATATTTCTTTAACCGGTCCAGATAAACCAATTGTAAATATTTCTCTGATAAGACTAGATAAACTGTGTGTATATATTTCTTTAACCGGTCCAGATAAACCAATTGTAAATATTTCTCTGATAAGACTAGATAAACTGTGTGTATATATTTCTTTAACCGGTCCAGATAAACCAATTGTAAATATTTCTCTGATAAGACTAGATAAACTGTGTGTATATATTTCTTTAACCGGTCCAGATAAACCGAGTGTATATATTTCTCTGATAAGACTAGATAAACTGTGTGTATATATTTCTTTATATTTCCTGATAAGACTAGATAAACTGTGTGTATATCCAGATAAACCGAGTGTATATATTTCTCTGATAAGACTAGATAAACTGTGTGTATATATTTCTTTAACCGGTCCAGATAAACCAATTGTAAGTATTTCTCTGATAAGACTAGATAAACTGTGTGTATATATTTCTTTAACCGGTCCAGATAAACCGAGTGTATATATTTCTTTAACTAGCCCAGATAAACGGAGTGTATATATTTCTTTAACCAGCCAAGATTAACCGAGTGTATATATTTCTTTAACTAGCCCAGATAAACCGAGTGTATATATTTCTTTAACCAGCCCAGATAAACCGATTGTATATATTTCTTTTACCTGCCCAGATAAACCAAATGTATATATTTCTTAAAACAGCCCAGATAAACTGTGTGTATATATTTCTTTTACCAGTCCAGATAAACCGAGTGTATATATTTCTTTTACCTGCCCAGATAAACCGAGTGTATATATTTCTTAAAACAGCCCAGATAAACTGTGTGTATATATTTCTTTTACCAGTCCAGATAAACCGAGTGTATATATTTCTTTAACCAGCCAAGATAAATCGAGTGTATATATTTCTTTTACCAGTCCAGATAAACCGAGTGTATATTTTTCCTTTACCAGTCCAGATAAACCGAGTGTATATATTTCTTTACCAGTCCAGATAAACCGAGTGTATATATTTCTTTACCAGTCCAGATAAACCGAGTGTATATATTTCTTTAACTAGCCCAGATAAACCGAGTGTATATATTTCTTAAACCAGTCCAAATAAACCGAGTGTATCTATTTCTTAAACCAGTCCAAATTAACCGAGTGTATCTATTTCTTAAACCAGTCCAGATAAACCGAATGTATATATTTCTTTTACCAGTCTAGATAAATCGGTTACATTTATTTCTTTTATCAGTCCGGATAAACCGAGTGTATATATTTCTTTAACCGGTCCAGATAAACCGAGTGTATATATTTCTTTAACCAGCCCAGATAAACCGAGTGTATCTATTTCTTAAACCAGTCCAAATAAACAGAGTGTATCTATTTCTTAAACCAGTCCAAATAAACCGAGTGTATCTATTTCTTAAACCAGTCCAAATAAACCGAGTGTATCTATTTCTTAAACCAGTCCAAATAAACCGAGTGTATCTATTTCTTAAACCAGTCCAAATAAACCGAGTGTACATATTTCTCTGATCAGTCTAGATAAACTGTGTATATATTTCTTTAACCAGCCCAGATAAACCAGGTGTATATATCTCTTTAACTAGCCCAGATAAACGGAGTGTATATATTTCTTTAACCAGCCAAGATAAACCGAGTGTATATATTTCTTTAACTAGCCCAGATAAACCGAGTGTATATATTTCTTTAACCAGCCCAGATAAACCGAATGTATATATTTCTTAAAACAGCCCAGATAAACTGTGTGTATATATTTCTTTTACCAGTCCAGATAAACCGAGTGTATATTTTTCCTTTACCAGTCCAAATAAACCGAGTGTATCTATTTCTTAAACCAGTCCAAATAAACCGAGTGTATCTATTTCTTAAACCAGTCCAAATAAACCGAGTGTACATATTTCTCTGATCAGTCTAGATAAACTGTGTATATATCTCTTTAACCAGCCCAGATAAACAGGGTGTATATATTTCTTTAACCAGCCCAGATAAACAGGGTGTATATATTTCTTTAACCAGTCAAGATAATTTGGGTGTATATATTTCTTTAAGCGGTCCAGATAAACCGGGTGTATATATTTCTTTAACAGGTCCAGATAGACCGAGTGTATATATTTCTTTAACCAGCCCAGATAAACCGAGTGTATATATTTCTTTAACCGGTCCAGATTAACCGAGTGTATATATTTCTTAACAGTCCAAATAAACCAGATATATATATATATTTCTATAACCGGTCTAGATAAATCGGTTGCATATATTTCTTAAACAAATCTAGATAAACTATGTGTATTTATTTCTTAAACCAGTCTTGAAAAACCGGATGTATATATTTCTTTAACCAGCCTAGATTAACTGTGTGTATATATTTCTTGAACCAGTTTTTATACACCGAGTTTAGATATTTCCTTAACCAGTCTGGACTAACCGGTTGCGCATATTTCTTTAACATGTCTAGATATACCGGGTAAATATACCTAACTAACCAGTCTGGATAAACCGGATGTATATACTTCTTTAACCAGTCTAGATAAAGGAAGTGTATATACCTCTTTAACCAATCTAGATAAAGGAAGTGTATATACTTCTTTAACCAGTCTAGATAAAGGAAGTGTATATACTTCTTTAACCAGTCTAGATAAAGGAAGTGTATATACTTCTTTTACCAGTCTAGATAAAGGAAGTGTATATACCTCTTTAACCAGTCTAGATAAAGGAAGTGTATATACTTCTTTAACCAGTCTAGATAAAGGAAGTGTATATACTTCTTTAACCAGTCTAGATAAAGGAAGTGTATATACTTCTTTTACCATTCTAGATAATGGAAGTGTATATACTTCTTTTACCAGTCTAGATAAAGGAAGTGTATATACTTCTTTTACCAGTCTATATTCCTTTAACCAGTCTTGATAACCAGGTGTATATATTCCTTTAACCAGTCTAGATAAACTGTCTCTATATTCCTTTAACCAGTCTTGATAAACCGGATATATATATTTGTTTTAAACGTCGAGATAAACCGTGTGCATATAATTATTTAACTAGTCTAGATAAAGGGGTGTATAAATTTCATTTATAAGTCTAGTCCAACCGGTTGCATACATTTATTTATCATTTATTCTAGTTTAAATATTTCTTTGATTCAATATTGTGTGAATGTTTTCATGGTATTCTATAAAAATCATAACACTGACTAGGATATTCATCGAATTCTATATGTACCGCAATTGAGTAGATTTTTTTGAGTGAAGAGATCTTAAATCGATGCGTACAGACGATGTGTGAGAATGAAAATGTGTAAAACATTAAACGAAGCTTCAGAAAATTTAGTTAATTTATTTAGTGAGTAATTTCAGTATCATAGTCTTGAATTATTTTCAAAATCCTAATTGTTGTTTTTGATTACCCCCCAGTCATTGCGCAAAAGGGATGTGTGTTTATAATCGTTATAGACAAAATACGTCTTGTTTGTCCTCAACATCTTTTTGTCCATTTGGAATCTGTAATCGTGTTGTGGTTTAATGTCCAATTTTAAGGCCACAATACCCAGGTAGCCATCGTCAACATGAAGATATTGAACAAAAGGAAAAGCCAAAGAAAATCTCTTAGCGATTTTTAGAGAGACAAGGTATGCCCCACCTCTAAGATATGGCGGCCAGTGTGTATGCGGATAGATTTTCTTTGGTAAAGCCCATTGATGTTTTCCCTTGTAAACAAGCCCATGGTCGAGTCTGTACCCACAGAATAAAGAGTCCAACTGATCCGGAGTTAATGAACGCAAAAAGGCCATGATGTTGCCCATGTGTGGTAAATGATCATCGTCCAAAAATAGAATAACTCGTGCTGTTGGACATTCATTCACTGCCCAATTAAACCCCATAATGGTTTTTAGAGTGTTGTTTGGGTACGAATCCACAAATTTTTCTACGATGACGTCGTGATGTATTTTATCTTCTGTTTTGGTTGTTTCTACGTGTGCCTTGTGGTACCCAAGCATGAATCTTAATATGGTATTACCACTCAGGCCAGAGCCCCATGTGTTTCTAATAGCAGTTCTTAACAAGACGTTTTGAACGCTCGATTTCACAAGAACCAGGAGGGTTATGTTTGCTGTTGTATTTGTAAACTGACACTTCGGAGGGCGATGTATATATCCATAGCTATGTTCATTAATAGGTTTTGCTGGAATGTCAATATTCTTTTCAATTTTATCTTGAACATACTGTTTTAGGTCTATATTCAATTGAATATGTATTGCAGGATGAGGTGTTAACGGTATATCGGTGAAATTTGATGCAATCGTCATATTCTCGGTCACAAAAGGAAGCTGCGTTGTATTTTCGACTAGAAAATAGTTTCCATCTTCCAGTCTGAACGCTGTCTTGGCATCATTTTGAACAAGATATGCGATGCAAGTGAGAGTTGATGTCAACATAATTAGTTGGATGAATCTCGTCATTTTATTCTGAAAGATCTTGCCGCCCAGCATTACAACAGCTTTCGTAAGTTTCATTTTGTCAGAAATTACAAACGTAGTAATTAAAGTGACGTCGCTTGGATCGATTTACGACCTTGACCTTATTTTTAGGTCGATATTATTTCGCTGTGTTTCTTATATCAGTTACAAACAACGGTTGTTTACCTTCCCCTCCTTGAATAGTAGTTCTTTGGTTTTAAGTGTCTTTGTCAGCATCACTTCAGTAAAAGCGGCTTTGTTGGAGTTATCTCCCATCCACTTATATACGTTAGAGTAAAATTTTAGATTTTTTTCCTTGATGAGCGATGTTCCTTTGGGGGACTTAAATCTCCTCTGAATTCTTTGGGAATTGATGTCGTTAGACTACTGTAAACATCTGCCAGCCATCCAAATATTACCCACTTCCGGATGGATACCCTAAAATAAAGTAAGAAAAAACATATCCAATTACAACAAAGACAGATGATGAGCTGAAAAAATAATAAGCTGGGTCTACAAAGAGGACCCCAAAGACTTTAATTTGGCGAGTTCGTATTGTTCCCGTGGACAAGAATATCATCGATTCATCATTTACATATACATGATCCAGTTCAGATTCCTTTGTCAATCTCCAGATACTGGACTGATCAGTGCTCCCTTACCGATTTATATATGTAGTTTTTAATGACTCTTTCTAAAATTCCACCTAAATTTGTGTATAGATACTCAAAGTTCGTCTTGGTCTATTTTTTTATTGTTATATACAAACTATATATAATCTTTGTCATAAAGAAGTTTGAAAAATACGGAAGTTTGAGAAGCCAAAATTGAGATGCGTCCTTGTTTTGAATCAGAACAGTTAACTCTTGTTATATCTGTTATTCTTAAATCTGTTATATGAATCGTTTGTCAGTTTATTTATGAATGTTGCCTCTTACTGCCTACTTGATAATTTTTTAAGGCTTATACGTGGGAAAGTTGGGAAGGGAGATGGCCGTCAAATGGCCTACTTAGATTTTGTCATAGGAACGCTGTAATCGCTAATCGTTGCAAATTTTCAGAGCAAGCATTAGCTTTGCCGTGACGTCTTGCGGAAGAATATATAATATAACCTATCATATGTAAACATAACAACAAATAAATTACGGAAATATTTGTAAAGAAATATATTATGTACACAACAAGTCACAGAAAAATGCAATACATATGTAACTAATAAAAGGATATTACATCCACACCTCACAGAAAGCCAAATAACAGAAGGATATTAAGTGGTTACCAATGTTGCGAATTAGGATAGCTCTATTGCAGAAATTTACACTATTCTTTGCGATGATCAGTGAAGGTGAAATTTTCTCTCTCCAAAACTTTTTATCAATCTTTTTTACAAAAGAGTTCAACAAGGGAGGCAAACAATGACACTAAAATTCATAATTACCTCCCTTAAATCAATAGACAATGGTAGCAGAAAACATTTAATTTGCATTTTTCTTGAAATTATTGGTCATATTTGAGATATACAGTTTAAGCAGTTTGATTATGCAAAATACATTCGTACATGTATATATTTATAAACTACATTACAATTACATTAACAGTAGAGAGATAAAATAGGTGTAAATCGAACATTTCCTCTGATATCTGACATGTGATTGCCATGGTTACAAACTCAAAACAACGAACATGATATCGAAATACTCCAAAAGGATTTAGATAATCTTCAAAACTGGTCCAACAAATGGCTACTGAAATTCCACCCTAGCAAATGTAAAATTCTTTCAATTAAGGCAACTCAAAAACGAATTTATTATATGGGAGGATCTGAAGGAGAGCACGTTAGCAAAGAAAAGGATATTGGTGTCACCATAGATGAGGATTTAAGCTTCCGAGCACACATACAGTCAATGGTTAACAAAGCAAACAGTATAGTAGGACTAATTAGAAGATCTTTCTCTTACCTTGACGAGTCAATGTTTAAAATGCTGTTTACATCTCTAGTGCGACCCCACCTGGAGTATGCCGCCAGATATAGAACTTATTGAAAACGTACAGAGAAGGGCCACAAAACTGCTTCCTGGATTTAAAAATCTCTCATACCCAGAACGGCTGGAAAAACTGAATCTACCAACTCTTCAACACCGAAGGACCAGAGGAGATATGATAAACGTTTTTAAGATAGTAAACAATATATACGATAGTAAGGTAACAAGAAACTTTTTTGAAATGGAAAATATAAGCAGAACTAGAGGTCATAACAAGAAAATATTCAAAAAACGATGTCGTCTTGATATTAGAAAGCACTTTTTCAGTTACCGGTGGATTTGTGGAATAGTTTACCACAAACAGTAATAAATGCGGACTCTGTAATAAAATTTGAAATAATGTTAGATGAACATTGGAAAAATATCCGTTTCTATACATAATTGTACATTAATTAACTAATATAAGCCATTAACACTGAAATTACTTATTATGCAATATGTAAATATGTGATATGGACATAGAGGCTTTAAGCCTGCGTCCATTATTTATGCTAATAAATGCTAATAAATGCTAATAAAAAATACTAAAAATGCAAATAATATTGCTTATTCCAACCTAAACTACACTTTATGGAAGACATTTTATTTCTGAACACTTGTCTTAAAATCAACAACACTGTCATGGTAACAAACTACTAACATTTCATCAAATTCCATCTCGGAAAGCCTTCACAATATGACCCACGTGTAAAAACTATGAAAAGTACATGTACATGTAAAGCTAGCTTTTGGTGTGTAGACACAGATTCGGGATTGCCCAAATAGTACTCTCCAACACAAAGCTAATACACTATTCTGAAAAAAAACAAGATCAATTTTAGCAAAGATTTTTTTTTATTATTATTATTTTATTAAAACCTTTATTATAATGGAGTAATCTAAAAAAACAAAAATACCACACCGAGACACTGTGTACTGTTACCAATAAACACTCCTACCACTGCAAAACAAAACGAGAGATTACAGCAAAGTCTTTAAGGACGAAAAAGAAACAGAAAAAAAGTACATACAGGCAAAAGCACACGATGCAAATAAGAACGAGCTTGAAAGAGAATGCAAAAAAGGAAGAGTAGACGGGAAAGAAATGCCATGCAAAACAAATAGCACTTAAAAGAAAAAACAACACTTAAAAAGATAGCATTTAAAAGACAGAAACATCAAGAAAAATACCAACATATAGACAAAATCATAATACATAACCTAACTTTAAAACAAATTATTAACAAAAGACAAATGAAGGAAGTGGGAAGGGGGAAACCAGACAAGAAAGAGAATCAAAGAAAACACCAGTACCATGGAAAGAAAAATAAGACGGGAATTGGAAACAATGAGAAAACACCAGTACCATGGAAAGAAAGAAAAATAAGACGGGAATTGGAAACAATGAGAAAACACCAGTACCATGGGAAGAAAAATAAGACGGGAATTGGAAACAATGAGAAAACACCAGTACCATGGAAAGAAAAATAAGACGGGAATTGGAAACAATGAGAAAACACCAGTACCATGGAAAGAAAAATAAGACGGGAATTGGAAACAATGAGAAAACACCAGTACCATGGAAAGAAAAATAAGACGGGAATTGGAAACAATGAGAAAACACCAGTACCATGGAAAGAAAAATAAGACGGGAATTGGAAACAATGAGAAAACACCAGTACCATGGAAAGAAAAATAAGACGGGAATTGGAAACAATGAGAAAACACCAGTACCATGGAAAGAAAAATAAGACGGGAATTGGAAACAATGAGAAAACACCAGTACCATGGAAAGAAAAATAAGACGGGAATTGGAAACAATGAGAAAACACCAGTACCATGGAAAGAGAAATAAGACGGGAATTGGAAACAATGAGAAAACACCAGTACCATGGAAAGAAAAATAAGACGGGAATTGGAAACAATGAGAAAACACCAGTACCATGGAAAGAAAGAAAAAATAAGACGGGAATTGGAAACAATGAGAAAACACCAGTACCATGGAAAGAAAAATAAGACGGGAATTGGAAACAATGAGAAAACACCAGTACCATGGAAAGAAAAATAAGACGGGAATTGGAAACAATGAGAAAACACCAGTACCATGGAAAGAAAGAGAAATAAGACGGGAATTGGAAACAATGAGAAAACACCAGTACCATGGAAAGAAAGAAAAATAAGACGGGAATTGGAAACAATGAGAAAACACCAGTACCATGGAAAGAAAGAGAAATAAGACGGGAATTGGAAACAATGAGAAAACACCAGTACCATGGAAAGAAAGATAAGACGGGAATTGGAAACAATGAGAAAACACCAGTACCATGGAAAGAAAAATAAGACGGGAATTGGAAACAATGAGAAAACACCAGTACCATGGAAAGAAAAATAAGACGGGAATTGGAAACAATGAGAAAACACCAGTACCATGGAAAGAAAGAAAAATAAGACGGGAATTGGAAACAATGAGAAAACACCAGTACCATGGAAAGAAAAATAAGACGGGAATTGGAAACAATGAGAAAACACCAGTACCATGGAAAGAAAAATAAGACGGGAATTGGAAACAATGAGAAAACACCAGTACATGGAAAGAAAGAGAAATAAGACGGGAATTGGAAACAATGAGAAAACACCAGTACCATGGAAAGAAAGAAAAATAAGACGGGAATTGGAAACAATGAGAAAACACCAGTACCATGGAAAGAAAAATAAGACGGGAATTGGAAACAATAAGACGGGAATTGGAAACAAGAAAACACCAGTACCATGAAAGAAAGAAAATAAGACGGGAATTGGAAACAATGAGAAAACACCAGTACCATGGAAAGAAAAAAAAGACGGGAATTGGAAACAATGAGAAAACACCAGTACCATGGAAAGAAAAATAAGACGGGAATTGGAAACAATAAGAAAACACCAGTACCATGGAAAGAAAAATAAGACGGGAATTGGAAACAATGAGAAAACACCAGTACCATG